CTCCGCTATCATGCGCATGGAAAAGACTTGATCCGTACACCCCATCCCCTTTCTAAATCCAGCTTGCACATCCCAAATTTTCCATCAGTTTGTTCCATAACTCTTTCAATTAACACCGTAGCATACAGTTTACAATGCTAAGCAAGCTGATACCACGGTAGTTTTTACAGTCCTGCTGCGACCCCTTGCCCTTATATATTGGGACTATAACGGCTTTGCACCAGTCTTCCGGTACCCGTTTCAGTTCCCAACATAAATTAAACAAGGTGTGCAGCAGGCCTGTAACCACACCCTCACCAGCCCTCAGCATTTCGAGTGATACTCTATCATATCCGGCTGCCTTACCTGCTTTCATGCTTTTCATTGCTTTCATTATTTCATCTACACTTATCTCCCTACCTCTCTCCACTTCTTCCGGAATTTCTATTTCACTTATTCCAGACGACTCTTCACTCTTAAACACGCTTTAAAAGTATTCCTTCCATCTCTTTAAATTCGAAACTTCATCATTCAGCATGCAGCCATTCCCGTCTCGTATAGCATTTATTCTAGGCTGTTTTGAATTTCTTCTGGCAGTTCTTACGAGCTTCCAGAACATTTTAATATTTGCCTGGAAGTTATCAGATATCCTTCTATCATTCTTATCTATCCTTTCTTGTTTTTTTCTTTCAACAACTTCTTTTACTCTCTTATTTATACGTCTAAAGTCTGCCTTTTTTCTTTCAATCTCATCATTCATACCGCCAGAATTACCAGCTTTAGTTGCTAGTAAATCTAGCCATGCTCTCTTCTTTGCTTCAACTTCCATCCGTACCTCATCATCCCACCACAACGTATTACTTTTCCTTTCATTCGTTCTCTTACTTACACCGCATACTTCGGTGGCTGCATCCACCAAAACTTTCTTAATATTATTCCATACATTCTTCAATTCTAAATCATTCATACATAATTCATTCAACCCACTTATATTTTCCCTCAATCTGCATTTATACTTCTCTTTCACACCTTCATCTTGTAACCTCTCTATTCTTATACGCTGTAACGCAGTGGTAGACACCGATGTCCGATGCCGCCAACGTCTGAATAGACCATTAATTCGGCTTAAGACCAAGTAATGATCCGTCCCTACGTTGGACCCCCGGTAAACCCTTGTATCTACCACTACGCTCCTCATTCTTTCATCCACAATTATAAAATCTATCATGCTTCTATCATCCCCTCTTTCCCATGTATACATGTGAATCCTCTTATGGCGAAAGAAAGTGTTCGCCACAAAAAGATTCTTTCCACACATACGGTGAGGAGGTCTTCACCATTCTCATTTATTCTTTCATCGCCAAACGTTCCTAATATCCTTTCATAACCAGACCTCTTCACCCCAAACCTTCCAATAAAATCTCCTAACATAATAATATTTTCATTTTCCTTACATTTCATCAACACCAGCCTTAAAAAAAATAAAAAGGTTTTATTCATAAACACGGTCTTATAATATCTGGATGTAATATCTGGAAACTAATAACTTGCTGTCAGACAGACAATTTGGGTTTAGGCCTAAGAGATCTTGTAATGATGCCTTGCACCAATTGACAGAGTATGTCACAAGTAATCTTGACAATGGTTTATACTCAATTGGGATCTTCCTAGACCTTGCCAAAGCATTTGATACTATCTCTTGCCCTTTACTATTGCAAAAGCTTGAAACACTTGGCATAAGGGGAACTCAACTACAAATTTTTTCCGATTATCTAAGTGATCGCTTTCAATGTGTAAAAATCGGTGAGTATACAAGTACTGAATTACAAAACAGTTCTTTTGGAATCCCACAGGGCAGTATCCTGAGGCCTACATTGTTCCTAATTTATATAAATGACTTATGCAATCTTCAACTTCAAAATGGTGTCATAATGTCTTATGCGGATGACACAGCTCTGTTATTCTCAGCTAAATCACAAGATGAGGTTTATAAATACGCTCAGCAAGGCTTTAATATAGTATCCAATTGGCTTATAAATAATCTCCTAAGTTTAAACGCAGATAAAACACAATATATGTTATTTTTAATGAGAAATAATAACATACCTGCTGACCTTAATATTTACGCTCATCATTGTAACTCGTATGACGACATTGCATGTGCATGTCCCGCTTTAACAAAAACAGACAATATAAAATATCTAGGTATCACGTTTGACACAAATTTAAATTTCCGCAAGCACATCGATTTACTTTGTGCTAGAGTTCGTAAATTAATATATATTTTTAAATATCTTCGTAACATCGCTGACTTCAAATTGATAAGACAGGTTTATTTAGCTTTGTGTCAATCCATACTCACTTATGGCATTACTTCCTGGGGTGGTGCTTCTAAAACAATATTGCTCCCACTAGAACGTGCTCAGAGAGCAGTTCTAAAGGTAGCCACTTTCCGTCCATTCATGTTTCCTACACATCAACTGTACTTGGCATGTAGTGTACTAACTGTCCGTCAGTTGTTTATCCTGAAAATCATATTAAAACAACATACCGAACTTCCATTTAACTTAAAATCCATAGACAGGAGAAGAATGGACTTAGTTTGTGTAAACCCTCAAACCAAACACGCATTTGTGAACAAATTTTACATATTTTTAGGACCCTTTCTATATAACAAGCTCAACAAGTCACTAAAGGTATATAGTCTAAGTTATAAGGACTGTAATATAAGTGTAAGGGAATTTCTAAATAAATTAAATTACGAAGACACAGAGAAGTTGTTAGATATACTAAAATAGTTTGTATTAATTGTAAGCAATAAATGATTGTTATTTAGTTATTTTATTTATTATACAATTTAGTTTAATTATTTAAATATCTAGTGTCCTACATTATTAAACCGTTTGTATAAGTGATGTCTGAAACACAGGTACTCAACCTAGTTCAGGCAGGTAGCTAATATTATAAATATGAATTTTCTATCTTCTTTTGTAGATTCTACATTATTTAGCTACACATATGTAGTTTTAATTTTATCATAGCATGTTATATTTGTTAGACTTATTGTTACTTTATTAATTGTAATCATTCTGATTCCTGTATGTCAACATGTGTAATTCGAAATGAAATAAATATTTATTATTATTATTATTTTTGGGGTATCTATAAGTTTTCTCATCTGGTTGGGCAGTATAAATAAATAGTTGTAAATGAAAATGGTAAACATACATAAATATGAATAAAATAAAATAAATACATAAAAAATACATAAATATATAAAAACCCAACCAGATGGAAGCCCTCGGCAGGGGAGACCAGACGGCCGAGGGTTAGGGGGAAAGGGAAAGAAACCGGCGGACGATGCGGGCGGTATCGAGGAGCACCGCCTTCTGCATTTGAGCCTGGAGCGGTCCGTCACGGAGTCCCAGTCGCCTCAGATGACCCGGGAGGCTGACTGGGATTAACCCATTCGCAGAAACGACCACAGGAATAATTTCGGCCGGCAGACCACCCCACATGCCGGTAACCTCGTGAGCCAGGTCCAGATATTTTGTCACCTTATCTGTTTCGGCTTTCACGAGGTTCTCGTCATAAGGAATGGTAATGTCGACCAAAAAGATCCTTGACTGTGCCCGGTCCATCAGCACAATATCAGGCTTATTCGCAAGAATAGTCCTGTCTGTGATGATGGCCCGGTCCCAGTAGAGCCTGGCGCGGTCATTTTCGAGCACGGCTTCCGGCAAGTACTTATAATACGGCAGTTTCCGATCCACGAGGCCGTATTTCAGAGCGAGCTCCTGGTGTAGAATCCTGGCTACTAGATTGTGTCTGTGCAAATACTCAGAGTTAGAAAGCGCCGAACAACCGGAGATGACATGCCTAAGTGACTCACCGGGATGGCGACAAGCTCGACAGATGTCGACGGCGCCATCCTTTAGGATGTATCTCCGATAATTGTTGGTCTTAATAACCTGATCCTGTATCGCACAGACAAAACCCTCGGTTTCCCCAAAGAGGTCACCGAAACGTAGCCAGTGAAGGGAGGCGACTGTGTCTACGAAAGGCTCATGTAGAGCCTTGTAGAACCTCCCGTGGAGCTCCTTCTCCTTCCATACGGTCTCCCGGTCGGAAATGCACTGTACTGCTGGGTCTTGCCATTGCTCGTTGGCTAAGGATAGAGGGGTCAGTCCTTTATCACAAGAAATAACGTCCCTATAGTATGGATCATCCGCTCTCGTCAGAAAGTAATTACGGAGGCTGCACACTTCGCGATTATGCATGGTAAGCGCGCTTAAAAAGCCGCGCCCGCCATGCTTCCGCGGCAAGTACAGCCTCATTACTGACGATCTCGGATGATGCATCCTGTGGGACGTCATTATAGTGCGGACTTTTCTGTCCAGAGCGTTTAGTTCGGTCTGAGTCCACCTAAGTATGCCAAAGGTATACATGAGAACAGGCATGACCCAACCGTTATATGCGTGCGTCTTATTCACACCGGACAAAAGGCTGTTAAGCACTTTGGTCAAGCGTGCATAAAACACATTGCAAACTGACTGTTTCATACCCGCCTCATCTACACCGATGTTCTGTGACATACCCAGGTATCGGTATGTTTCAGCCTCGGAAAGGGTCCTTATGTTGATGGGCATAGATAAATCTATGCCCTCAGAGTTAGCAACCCTCCCCCTTTCAACATGGAGGACCGCACACTTATCCGTCCCCAGCTCCATTCTAATAGAATTGCTAAAATCACAAGTGATGTTTAGCAATTCCATAAGATGAGAGCGACTGGAGGCGAATAACTTGAGATCATCCATATAGAAAAGGTGGGTCACTTTTGTACCTCCCCTCCGAAGCTGAAATCCCCTCCCGGAGCCCTCGAGTAAGGTACTGAGAGGGTTCAGAGAGAGGCAGAACCAGATTGGACTCAGACAATCGCCCTGGAAGATACCCCTTCTTATCCTTATGTGGTTCTCCGCAGCCGTCATCCGCTCGCCTAGATGACAAAGGATCGTACTCCACTACCCCATACACTGCCCAAGGAAGTCTCTAACTGTACAGTCAACCTTGTACAGCTCGAGGACCCTCTCCAGCCATGTATGAGGCACCGAGTCGAATGCCTTTTTGTAGTCTATCCAGGCGGCGGATAGGTTCCGACGGTTGCGTTTAACCACTTTGCCAATGACCGCGTCAATGAGGAGTGGTTCCTTGGTTCCACGACCACCGCCCCGACATCCATTTTGAGCGCGCGACATCACCTGATTTGAGTTCAGGTGACGAGTGATTCTCGCGCTCAAAATGGATGTTAGTGTCTTATATATCGTGGGTAGACACGTGATGGGGCGGTATTTGCTCGGGTCTATGGTATCCCGGTCTTTAGGAACCAAATGAGTGATCCCAGTAGTGAAGAGGCTCGGGAGCGACTTTTGGTCGAGAGCCTCTTGAAATTGTCGGGCGAGCACAGCGTGACACACCACGAACCCCTTCAGCCAGTAGTGATGCAGCCCGTCGAGCCCCGGACTTTTCCAGTTCGGGGCCCTTCGGACCGCCTCAGCTACATCGTCCGGCGTTATAATGACGGGGTCCATGGGCGTAAGATTCGCACACTGACTCACCACAGCTTCCGTCCAAGGGCCCTCGCGGTGGTTTACGGGCTCTGACCACAGGCCGCGCCAGAATGCGACAGTGTCGGCCTGATTCGGTGCTTGGCCCGTTCCACGTACCATTGGTCGCTCCAATGATTTATATAGCCTCTTCTGATCACTCTGGAAGAGACGATTCTGGTTGAACCGTGTCGACCTCTCGGTATATCGCCGAATCCGCTTCCCCCAAGCAGCGATTCTCTGCTTCAGGTCGTCTATGCGCTCCGTCAGTTTTTGCGTTATATCCGGCTGGGACAAACTGATATTTGTCCCAGCAAACGCCATTCTGACGGTGCGCACAATTCGCGGCCTATTATTGCCCGACCTGAAGCTTATCAGCCTGCCGATGAGGGCCCTTGCCTTTACGATACGGTCCTCAATCCTTCTTCTCCAGGCTGGGATGGCGCTACTTTGTCTAGTAGCGCGTCCAGCCGTGGGAAGTTTGGCGCCAACAATACGACAAACTGCCAGTGCGGCGCCAAAAAGAATTGAGTCCGTCTCGCAAAGGTCCCGGCTGGCTTCCAAATAGGTAACCAGCATTGGGTTGAGAGCCCTCACGACAGCCCGATTCCGCTTGCTTAGGGGTATGCGCGGGAGTCGCGGTCGATTTTCGAGAGGCGTACTGCGCGTTTCCACAATCGCCTCCTCCAATTTACTCCTCATCTGCTCTAGTTCTTGGGTGACTATTCCATCATCGCCTGAATCAACCAGAGCAGGGAGATCCATGGCGCCCTCTATATGTGGCTGCTGGTCTGTGGCCTGAAGAGCCGGATCCCCAGCTCTAGCCGGTTCATTCGATGAGGGAATAGCCTCACGTCGTAGTCGTTCGAGTTCGGCATCATCAAATATTTTCGAGCGTATGATGTACCGAACTCGGTCTGCCAGGTTTTGCTCCGTGACGGGAACTGACGGCTCAAGCTCAGCAAAAAAGCGATGCATCCGAGCCCGATACGCTATCCCTCCAGTTTCTTCCCCTTTCGCCCTATAGTACGCCCGCAATGCGTTTATGTTCATATGTTTTGTCCAACGCATGCGGCGTACTCCACCAGCGGCGGGTGCCGCTTGCCGAGTCCGAGAGGACCCCGCCGACGCCAAGCCGTCTGGTGGGGATGATGGACGCGAGGGGCTGCTAGGTGGTCGTGCAGCACCTCGCGCTCGGCTGGCGGCTCGCATGCTGTCACGTCCAGCGCCAGCTCCAGACGCGCCCCGGCGACCCCCAGGCAGCGGCCCTATGCGCGTTCTATAATTTTCCATCATCCATTGAATTGGGCGTCAATTAACGGGAGACGCCCAGACCCGGCGCCGTTTAATAGTGTGGCCGTAAGCACAAACGGGCCTTTGCACCCTCAATACTGCCGAGGCACGGCGCTCACACCTCTTGGCAAGGCACTGACTGACTGCGCTGACATAGCAGTTTTGTCACTTAACTGTTACGTCAGCGGGCGATGGGGTCGTCACTTCCCTACGCCTATTTATTTATTATTATTATTATTATAAATACATATACCATGGCAGACTTCTTCGCGTGGGCGTGCGCGTGTGCGTGTGCGTGTGCATGTGCGTGTGCGTGTGCGTGTGCGTGTGAGTGTGCGTGTGCGTGTGCGTGTGCGTGTGCGTGTGCGTGTGCGTGTGCGTGTGCGTGTGCGTGTGCGTGTGCGTGTGCGTGTGCGTGTGCGTGTGCGTGTGCGTATGCGTGTGCGTGTGGCGCGTGTGTGTGCGTGCGCGTGTGCGCGCGTGCGAGAGTGCACGCGTGCGCGAGTGCGCGCGTGCGCGAGTGCGCGCGTGCGCGAGTGCGTGATTGCGTGAGTGCGTGAATGCGTGATTGCGTGAGTGCATGAGTACGTGAGTGCGTGAGTGCGTGAGTGCGTGAGTGCGTGAGTGCGTGAGTGCGTGAGTGCGTGAGTGCGTGAGTGCGTTTGTGCGTGCGTGCGTGTGCGCATGCGCGTGCGTGTGCGTGTGCGTGTGCGTGTGCGTGTGCGTGTGCGTGTGCGTGTGCGTGCGTGCGTGCGTGCGAGCGAGCGTGCGTGCGTGCGCGCGTGTGTGTGTGTGTGTGTGTGTGTGTGTAGTGAAAGTGTAGTGTATATGTAATATGTGTGTATTGTATGTGCGTGTAAATTGTTGTGTGAAAGTTTTCATACTTTTCCCTCTGCACAGCCCCACGACATAAAAAGTCTTGGGATCAGCGTTAAGCCACTGAGCAGAGTTGGTAGTTACATATACAATTACATGGAAGTTATGTGTGTATGTATGTAATGAATGAGTGATTTACGCATAAATATCCTCATATCAAAATTCTAATTTTAATAGGTTTTCAAATTCAATAAATTCTAATGTCTTCAGCCATTCAGTGAGTTTTAGTTTTCAGTTTCTATAAGTCATAGGATATATATTTAGTATTTTATTTATTTTATTATATAAATGAGACGAGATGTTTTTGTACTGATTGCGAGCAAATTTAGTCTTGGTGTAATTTAGTGTGGATCTTTTCTTCTTTTTGTTGAAATATTGGTGTCAATATTAAAGGACATATTATGTTTTTTCAGAAATACGTGCAATATGTTAAGTTTACGAACTGTCAATAAATCTGCATATAAATACAATTTGTTGAAAACTGACGTGTTTTGAAATACATAATTTTTAACAATCCCCTTTGAGCTCGTTCTAATTGTATAAAATGAGTTTTTACAGCACCACCCCATATCGTTATACAATAAATCAAAACAGATTGTGCCAACGCAATATAAATCTGATCAAGTAAGTTTTTATTTGCAATGTGTCTTAGTATTTTAAAAATGCACATTAATTTACGTAATCTGCCAGAAACTAATTCGACATGAGACATCCATGAAAGTCTCTGGTCCACTAAAACACCAAGGTACTTCGTAGATGTTAGTCTAGTTATAGTGGGGTAGTTGCAATTCGTGCTAACTAGCGGCTGACAGCAATGAATCTTAATATCACTGGGAAAGTCAGGCAGACTGTTTTTATGGAAAACAAAATAAAGTTTGTTTTGCTGGTATTTAATGTTAGTAAGTTAAGACTTAGCCATTGCGAAATCACAGCCAAACCGTACTTAGTATTAATTTTTAAATTGTTCAAGGAGTCGCATGTAAACACAATGGCAGTGTCGTCAGCAAATGAGAATATGCTAGCACGTGGGATCTTCATATTGCAGAGTTCGTTTATGTATATTAGAAACAGGGTGGGCCCTAAGACGATTCCTTGCGGCACGCCATAAGTAACACTAGTTTTTTGACTTATATGTGAAACTATTTTTACCCTCTGAGTTCTACCAGTCATGTAACTTTTAAGCAAATCAAGGGGCACACCTCTAATCCCACAATTTTCTAACTTCTGCAATAGAATGGACACGGTGTGAAATGCCTTTATAAGATCAATAAACACTGCGAGGTAGTTTGGCTTTAGATCAAGATTAAACAAAGAACAACTACAGAAGTAAGGGCTTCTACAGCGTTTTCAGTTGATTTCCCTGCTTGAAAACCAAATTGTGAACTGGATAAGATATGGAACTTATTGAGGAAACTTATGAGTCTCTTGATGATAAGTTTTTCTATAACTTTTGACATTGCCGGCAATACCGAAATTGGTCTGTAGTTGTTGATATCCTTCTCATCTCCACTCTTATCTACAGGTGTTACTAAGGTTGTTAATGATGATAAATCTGTTACAGGTTCAGACGACACGAAAGTGCTGCAGTAATATTAAAGATTTATTCTATCTCTAATATAAATATAAAGTTTAATATTAAAGTAGTGAACTTCATAAGCCGTTCTGTCTGTCGTAGGTGTGATTACAATCTTAGATTCGTCTTATTTCTAAGAGGGTCAAGAAGGAATAAGTCCGCTAAGCTACTCCAGCACCTCTTGGCTTACTTCACATTTCTTCTAAATATTTAATTTCTTAGACATTTAGATTTCCTCACGATGTTTTTTTCACCGCCGAGTACATAGTAGTTAAAGAAAAAAAATGTAGTACGCGAGCTACCAGGAATGGATCCCGCCGGTCCCAATGAAATTGTTGATTGCAATTATAAGTGCTGATGCGAGATGTTAGTTTTTTTTTTATAGGATAAGGGTGACTAACGAGCACACAGTCCACCTGATGGTAAGTGATTGCTGCGGCCTATAGACATCTACATCTATCCTCTGTTACAAATCAAAATGTAGATGCGTTGTCACCCCTGAGGAATAACACGGAATGTCTCCAGTTCTCTACACTCAACATATGAAACACAGTTGTGAGAGCATGGTCCTACCCCGGTCGAGCAGACCCAATCCTGCTACAACCATAAAATAGTTGCGGCAATGCTCTACCACGTAGATTGCTTGGGATGAGTATCACTTTCTAGTATTTCTGGCACCAAACAGTAGATCGTGTAACGTGTTTCGGTTTGAATATTTACGAGCTGCTTAGTCCTCAGAGGTGAAAACGCATCTGTAATCTTCCTTAAATTAAGTTGCTTGCAGATGGCCATGGGATACAGTAACCACCGCCATAGCCATACATACAAGCAAGACATTTTACTTGGAGACTTATAAGAAAAAAACTTGATTTTATAATCCCATTCTAAGAATGTGTCGACTTTGCAACGAGATATCCATGAAAAGCTCCGGCTTAGATATTTTTGATCCAAGATTTAGGATATTCAAAAGTGCACTAAAACAGCTTGCACTTATTCGCACTCATTCCCATATCACAAAGATTTTATGTACGTTTATTATGTAGTTAAGTATGTCATAAATAATGTCGAGCGAAGAGTTGATCTCTCCTGTAATAAATAAAAAAGTGATGTGTCAACATATTAAGATAACAAACTGATATAGAATTGTTATATAACTGTTTTCTTTTTAAATATAATTTGATTGTTATCTGTTTAGTAGTCCATATAATAATAAATAAATAAATAACTACACACAAACAATAACAGCCCCCATAAATCCTATGCCGCTGCAATACTTAGTGTTTCCGGACTTCATTTGTCCCTGATATTTTTTTCTTTTTTTTTTAAAAAAAAACGTTACCTCCAAACTAGGATTTTCTCCTGTATCGTAGAGGCAGTTTACAAACATAAATTGCACAAGGACAAACAACACAAGTTCTACACCATATTGTTTTTTGTTGTCAGAGTTGAAGGTTTCTGTTGTTTTCCTTTACTGCCGAGCAAGCGGCATATCAAAACTTAAAATAACTCTTAAAGCCGTCGTGTATGTAAATATGAAAACGTTACCTTGCTCCCCGCAATTTACGAGCGAATTAGTACTAAAACGGGGTGAATTTTAGAACAAGCAACGTACATCCACCCTCATACATGTCTCGGCGGGCACCACAGATAATTATATTTTAGGCATAGAGTAGTCTGGGCACAGACCATAGATAAGAGTGGCTCAGACCGAGGCGGCTGCAAGTGCCATAACTTATTTTCTATAAGATATAAATAAAAACTAATTAATCAACCATGTTTTCAATATTACTAAAACATTACTATGTTACCTTTTCAATTGATACAAGTTTTACACAGATTCATAATAAAATCTCAACAAGTTTAAAAAAGCAATTTAATGTCATGTTTAACGAGGTAATTATTTTTATGCGCGTTTGTGTCTACACACAATTCTTGTCCGTATTTTCAGTTTAAATAAAATGATTCTGTTTTTGCGCAATATTAGGTATTTTTACGAATTTCAAAAATTTTAAAAGTACAGTTTAACATCGCCTTAAAATGAAACTAGCCTAAATGCCGTAGGGAAAAGTATTCGGTTTGCTTGCGTGCGTATCCGCTGCTCTCTTATTTTGCTAAAGGATTAATTGATTTTTGAGATTGTATATACAAACTAGTTATATAGTGTACTACGTATATACTATAATACGTGAGTAATATATATATATATATATATATATATATATATATATATATATATATATATATATATAGGATAAGGGTGACAAACGAGCACACAGTCTACCTGATGGTAAGTGGTTGCTGTGGCCCCTAGACATCTACATCTATCCTCTATTTCGAATCAAAATGCAGATGAGTTGTCATCCGTGAGGACTAAGATGGAGTGCCTCGTTATCAGTAAATAGGGTCTCCGGTTCTCTACATCCACCATACGAAACACAGCAGCGTTAAGCTGCTATTTTAAGCTGGTATTCTGTGAGAGCGTGGTCCTTCTTTGTTCGAGCCGACCCATTCGTGCTACAACTATACAAGTAATATAGCTGCAGCATGGCTCTAA